CCCATCTTAGCACCCCAAGCTCCCCAAACTCCCTCTTAGCACCCCAAGGTCCTTAAAGTCCACTAAAGCCCCTCTAGCACCCCAAGGTCCCCAAAGCCCCCTAATAGCACCCCAAGGTCCCCACAGTCCCTTAAGACCCCTCTTAGCTCCCCAAGGTCCCTTAACAAGTCCCTAAAGCCCCTCTGAGCACTGAGCACCCTCCAAACCCTAAACCCTTAACCCTAAACCCCAAACCCCAAACCCTAAACCCCAAACCCTAAACCCTAAACCCTAAACCCCTCAAGGTACGTGTCCTTCCATGGCGACGGCTCCGTCACTTCGCCTTTGCCGGAGTATGGAGTCAACCAGGCGCTGCGCATCCTGGGGATTAGGGAGTTTAGGGTTTAGGGTTTAGGGTTTGGGGTTTGGGGTTTAGGGTTTAGGGTTTAGGGTTGAGGTTCAGGGTTTAGGGTTTAGGGTTTCGGGTTTAGGGTTTAGGGTTTAGGGCTCAATGGGGGTGATGGACAAACCGAACCATAGACTGCCCACAGCCCGACGCCCTAACCTCCAAACACCCCTAAAGCCTGGTTCTTTTGGGGTTTTGAGGCTTTTTAATTTAGGTAGGGCATCTCTTCTACGCCCACTAGTGAGATGAAGGCCCGTCAAGTCAGTGGTTCCTCGGCAAACTTGGAAGCTCCTCTGACTTAGTAAAGTCTACTTCGTCTCCTTATAAAATCCCCAGACCCTACTAAGTCAGAAGGGCTTCCAAGAAAGCCCTGCACTCCAAATCTTTCTTCTGGCTGGCTCTTGGCACTTTAACCTTTTGGGTTTTTGTAGAAACTACAATAGGGAGCCTAAAAGTTAAACTTTTAGGAGAGGTTCAGAAGTCAGGCCAGAAACCCTAAACCCTAAAACCTAAACCAGGTGCTGCGATTCAACCTTCTGGACCTGAGCGCCAGGCCAGAGCCAGCGGCTGGGCTCCGCAGTGTGGAGGGTGTTAGGTGGCTTTGCGGCTTTGGGGTTTAGGGCTTATAGGGTTTAGGGTTTAGGGTTTAGGGTTTAGGGTTTAGGGCTTCCAGGACCCAGAGTGGGCCCTTGCTCCCTTTTTGTTAGGGCTTAGGTTCCCTAAGAGCCCAAGAAGGGCACCCCTTGTGTTTAGAGGTTATTCCTGGGTTTAGGGTTTAGGGTTTAGGGTTTAGGGTTTAGGGTTTAGGGTTTAAGGGCTTCAGGAGGGCCTTCCGGGATGCTCGCAGGCTTGCGAGCGACTGGGAGTTGCGGGGTTGGGATGGAGGAGCCGCGTCGCCCAAATGGCAAAGGCCCTCAAGCATCCGCATCTGTTGAAGATTGCTTGTGCTAGGTTCTTGATTGGACAAAGTCGCCCACGCCGCCGCGGATGCTTCGGGACATGATGCCGCTTGGCTCTTCCCTTTGTCTTCGCTGGTATTGTCGAGGTTCAGCGGTTTGAGGGCTCCACTGAACCCTACTCACAAAACCCTAACGCTAAATACTGCTGGCTCAGAACCTTTAAGGTCTGCATCAGTTGTGCTTGCTCGGAGCTTTTGCATAGAAGCTAGGCGGCATCTACCAGAGACCCTTGCGCTTCCTATCTCTCCGATGCGTGCGTCGCTCGGAGGGGGCGGGGCCTGGGGCTTTGATTGTGTGAAGGTTTTGGATAAACCTTAAACCCCAAGTCTAAACCCCAATTGTTTTAGGTTTAGCGATTCGGGTCTACGGTCTCGCCTCACCAGGGTCCCAGAAACCAATCCCTCTCTGCGAGTTAAAGACTTGGAGGTTCATGATACTTATTAACCCATTATAACTGTACTTATAACCCAGTTATAAGCCCCTTAATGGACCTGATATGGTTATAAGTGCAGTGATCATTGGTTAATAAGTACCATGAGGCTCGTCGGGAGCATCCCAAGAGCGGCACGCGGAAGTCACGTACGGCCCACGATGGAAGCCTCCATTGTTTAGGTTCGAAACTTTACATATGCCCTATATCGCATATATATATATATACATGCATACATATGTGTTTCCTCATTTGTCTCTTTTTCATTTTTTAAAGGGGCTCCCCAAGCGCCCAACATTACAGATCTGAATCTCTAGACCCGAGACCCTAACAAAAACACAACCCCCAAAACCCAAATCCCCAAACCCCAAAACAAATCCCTAAATTCCCTAAACCCTGCACAGTCCTCTCGAGCACCTGAGGCTGCTGAAATCTGGCGGCCTTTTCGTGGCCCAGGGTCTGAAATTCGATTCCGCGATTCTGCAGTATGGCCCCGCGCTCTGGATTTCTTGCTTTCTGAGGTCGGGTTTTGGGGCCTGGAATTTAGGGTTTAGGTTTAGGGTTTAGGGTTCAGGGTTCAGGGTTTAGGGTTTAGGGTTTAGGATTTCGGGTTCAGGGTTTAGGGTTTAGGGTTTTTTTGGGGTTAGGTAGGCTTAACCCGGGCTGGTCGGGGTCGGGGTGTACGGTATGATTTTGGGCGTCAAGGCATCTTTGCATTGAGTGTCACCCTAAACCCTAAACCCTAAACCCTAAACCCTAAACCCTAAACCCTAAACCCTAAACAATGGAGTGTGCTTCGGGCGTTGTGAGATGAAGGAAGCAACGGGCCGGGGTTGTGGATTTCGGCTGCTGTGGTGGAGGATGCTTGGGTTTGGGGTTTAGGGTTTAGGGTTTAGAGTTTAGGGTTTAGGGCCCTCAAAGCCCTGACACCTTAAAACCCCGCCCGGCCCCCACCCCCACTTTCAAAAGACGCTTCCCTAAGTTAAGATGCCCGGTGCCCCCCCCCCCCTCCCCCCCCCCGCCCCCGCTGGTGCTCTTCCGGTTGGGGATAGGTGCCCCTTCCACATCAATAACACCAAAAGGAGGTACCCTGATCGTTTCCTGGGAAATGGAAGGGGTTAGGATTGGGATTGAAAAGCAGAGGCCGCCAAGTTACGAAGCACAAGAATTCCAGGTCCCTGCGATGCCGCGGGAAAGCGCGAATTCGTGGAGGAGATCAAGGGAACATGATGGGGATGAGGGTTTAGAGTTTGAGCCTTCATATGGGGATGATAGAGCTTTGTTTCAGGACTTGAAGAGTTTTTTGTGGTTTTTTTTGAGGGCTTAGAGTTTGCTTAGCGCTTCATATTTCGAGAGATTTTTGTGTTTTATTGGGGGGAGGGGGTTTTTTCGGGTTTGTGGGGTTCGTGGCTTTAGGGATTCCGGGTTCATGGCTTGCGCCAGAATGCAACCGAAGCCCTCTTGACATCCCCCCCAAACCTCCTCTTAAAGAGGTGACATAATTGCCCTACCAGCCCTCCCCCCCTCAACCCTAAACTCTCAAGCCTAAACCCTCATGCCCTCAAGACTGGGACTGTCAAGGTCTAGGCTTAGACCCTGGAAGCCGAGGGCATAAGATAAACCCTAAACCCAAAGGCTCCTATGTAGTACAGTGCCTTTTTGGGGAAGTATATATACTAGAATCCCCTATGACTAACCCAAAAAGGAACTGCATAGGAGCCTTTGGGTAAACCCTACACCCTGAACCATTTGTATAAGGGGGAAGAAAGCTACGAGCAAATGCCGATTCGGGCCGGCGCCTGTCTAACTTTGTGGGTTTCTTCCTCACGGGTCGGCATGAGGTTTAAGGGTGACATCAACTCCAACTCGCACACGGCACTTTATGTCACCACTCGCAGTGGAGGGGGCTTGGGAACCCTAACCCCTAAACCCTAACCCCTCAACCCTAAACCCTAAAACCCTAAACCCACAGAGGAGTACCGAAGTCCCATGCTCGTGCACCCTTACGCGCTGACTTCGATCGGCCGCCGAGCTTGCAGAGGTACTGTAAGCCCTTGGGGGCATCTTTGGGGGGTTTAGGAGGTCTCAGGTTCATTTAGGGTTTAGGGTTTAGGGTTCAGGGTTCAGGGTTCAGGGTTCAGGGTTCAGGGTTTAGGGTTTAGGGTTTAGGGTTTAGGGTTTAGGGTTTAGGGTTTAGGGTAGGGTAGTGCCTTATGTTTCGGGAGTGCTTGAATGTCCAAGCTGCTTGAGTCACGAGGGGGCGTTTTGAGGGTGGCCTGATTCAAGCTGTGCTTGTTCGTTTTTGGTTTAGGGCCTGGGTTTAGGGTTTAGGGTTTAGGGTTTAGGGTTTAGGGTTTAGGGTTTAGGGTTTAGGGTTTAGGGTTTAGGGTTTAGGGTGATTGTCAGTTAGGCGCCCCATTTCTTTGATGCGACCAGCTCCAGCCTTATAAGAAGCTGAAATCCGACAGCATCAGATGAATCGGTAGAATTTGGTCAGCTATTGGATACCTAAGCGTAAGGGGCTGTAAACGGCAATGGAACTGGCCATATGTCCCAAGCCCCTAAAGTCCAGAATCTCGTGTCTGCAGCTGGCAATTGCAGGATGGACGACAACCACACAAGACCCCTAAACCCTCAACCCATAAACCCTAAGCTTACTTCAGTCTTTTTAGGGCTCAGGTAAAGGGTTAGGGGTTCATGGGTGAGGGAAACCTTTCAGCCCTAAACCTTTAAGCCCTAAACCCTAAACCCTAAACCCTAAAGCCACTCTAGTGGGCTTCATTGCGGTCCAGCCCCCAAGCCTCCTGTGGCCCCCCTGGGGCTGAGCCGAGGCGACACGCTCTACGCGTCCACGCAGGACTCCGGAACCGTCATGGCGTTCAACCTCACGGAGCCTCCTCAGGGTCGGTCATAGGGGGAGGGTTTAGGATTTGGGGTTTAGGGGTTTAGGGTTTAGGGTTGAGGGTTTAGGGTTACTATTTGAACTAACTAGCCTCAAATCAGACGTTAGCGGCCGAATACCGGTCGTTCCACAAATAGTCCGCTTTGCTGGGGTACTGCGCACGGCTCGGCAGTGCCTGCAGAAGCGGCTCCTTGCTTTGAACAGCTCGTAGCTTTTGCTCTTGCTGGCGGTGGGCACACTCGCGTGTCTCATTCCGCTGTTCGTCTTCGGTGCGCCTTTAGGGCATTTTCGCACCTCCCCCATTTGCCGCGCCTTTAAGGCATCATGTTCGGCTCCGGGGAAACCCCTGCGGGCAAACGTCCAAAGCCCGAGCCTTCCTCCGATGTCCCTGCGCAAGCAGATGTGCTGGCCATGGCGAAGGCGCAGTTTGGTGACAAGCTTTCTGCCGAAGAGCTGCAAGGCTTTCTCAACTCCATGGCCCAGCTGCGGAGCCAAGGCTCCGGTGCTTCCTCCACATCGCCCAATCCTTCAGCAGTTCCGCAGATTGTAAAGATCGAGGCCGATGAACTGCAAGCAAAACAAGAAGTGGAAGGGGCCCTCAATGTTCCTTGGGAGGATCTTTCTGAGCCACAAAAGCACGCCCTGCGTGATAAGGACACCAGGGATTTTGTGCTTCTCCTGGCAAATAGTGCCACGCGTGGTGGGTTCTTTTTCGACAAAGACAAGCAGTCCTTTGAGCGTGTGGCCATGATGCAGCTCCCAGAGCGCGAGGCCATGCAAACGGACTTCGATGAGATTGCAGAGCTTGCAGTCGAGGACACCATCAAGCAGGCCCTCATTTCCTTCCACAAAGACACCCACGTTCGCGACCTTCAAACCTTGTCCCAAAAGGTCACGGATGCGATGGCAGCCCAGCACGATTGCAACCGCATCTTCGGCTCCAGGTTGAACCAAGTGGAGGACCGCTTGGAAACTCTGGAGGCAGACGTCGCGCGTCGCACACTCCTTCTGAGCCAGTTGCCTCCTACGGCGTCCATCGGCAATTTGAAGGCCTTCGTCAAGTCGTTTTGCAAGTACGACGACCTTCAGGATATGGTCACCCATAGCTACAGCTCGAAACATGCTTTGGCAGTACTCCAGTTCATTCGGGCCCAGAGTTGTCATGATGCGTATTCGCAGTTCCAGAAGCAATCCTCACTTGGCAAGCTCCCGAAACTGCAGTACAAGGTCGAAGGTAAGGAGGAGACGGTGCCTGGCAAGGAATTGCGTCTGGAGAAATACCAGCCGCAGTCGAAGCTCCTCGCGATGCTTCCCATCAAAACCATGCATGCGCTCCTGTTACGACCGGAGTGCCCGTTGCACGGCCAGGGTTCCATCATCTCCAAGGCCGATTTCGGCCAGCTCATGTTTCGACCCAAGGACTCGAAACAGCAGGATGTGATCTGCCACCTCATGACCCGCTTCCACAAGGGCAGTGAAACTTTGTTCGTCCAGGAACTGGGCCTCGTGCAATCCATCTTCGACTATGCTCGCGCCAATTTCATTGGTGAGTTCAACCAGCAGTTAGCGGATACTACTTCGAAGTGCCGTGCGGTGAAGTTGGCTAAGTGTTTGGGAGGCACGCGAGCTCGCGAAGTCAGTACGTACCAACAGGTTCTGCATGACGAATCCCCTCCTATGCATCCTTTGTTCGTGTTTGCGCTGACCGACCAGCAAAGCAAAGTCCTCCTACGACATCCCAACGCCAGCATTCTCGGCGATTTGGCATATAGCACGGTCCTACGCAGTCAAGGCCGTTTGGCTCTCAACCCACAAGTGAATCTGGAGTTGAGGGATGACTCATGGGCAAAGGAACAGGAGGAGAAGCGCAAGGCCAAGGAGATCACCAAGAAGGAGTTGGATGAGGATGACGAGGAGGCCGCCCAGGAGGTCAAGAAGAAGGGGAAAGGCAACAGTGGCGAGGCTCAGCAAAAGCAGAAGGCAAAATCCAAGGCTAAGGCGAAGGCTGCCAGAAACCCGGATTGGCACGCGACGGGTGGCGTTTGGGCTCCCGGTGGCGGCTGGTCCTACTCCAAGGGCAAGGGCAAGGGCAAGGGCAAGAGCAAGAAGGGCTGGTGGTGACTAGGGATCGCTTGTGCGTTTTTCCTTCTCCGCTTTCTGCCGTTCTTTGCGGTTTTCTGTCCTGGCCTGCCGACGGCAGCCTTTGACATGTTTTTGAAGTGTCGGCAGGACTTCGCTCGAGTCTGCTTTGTAGGTCGGGCACATAGTCCGCTGCCCCCAACGCAGGCACATTTGGTGCCAGTTTTGACTCACACAGTTTGCGGTTGGGACCGCGTTTGCGCAGAGGCTTTGAACTCTTTGATGTACACGCGGCATGGAAATAAGTCCTTGATTGATCGCGTTCTTGCTATCGGTCGAGGTAGTATCTCAGATGCCACTCTTCGGCTTTCCACGTTAAGCTTTGAAAGAGGTGCTTGGCAGAGGCCAGCGCGTTCGTCTGCGCTTTGGCACGATTCCACTCAGTGCTACCTCCAAAATGGTATGCGAGTTTTCCGCGCTTTCCTTCTGCACGACACTAAGATTCCTTCTCTCGTGGTGTTTTACTCGCGCAAGTCTGTGTTCCAGTACTTGATTCTTCGTCGCACTGTCGCGATTCAATCTTTCATGGATGTTCTAGCGCGTGGGCACACCTCCGTAGGTGAGGCGGGATGCCGTCGTTCTTTTCCCCAGTGGCTTGAGCAGACGCGCTACTTGTTGCGTTCTGTCGGTGTCCGCAGGGATCCGAGCGGCAGCGAAGTGCCCCCTGATATGGAATCCCGTCGCAAGTCCAGGCGTTCTGTGGCGGCTCGCTCGCGTAGAGTAGAGAATTTTCGGCTCGTCAGGCGTGCCAATCGGCAACGCTACCGTTCTTTGAAGACGGAGCTCCAAAAATTGACCCTAGTTGTTGATGCTCCGAGGGATTCCCAAAGGGTTCAAGAAGCTCTTCACACGGTTGGCTGTGACTTGTCTTCCAATGCTGGCGCCTTTAAGGCTTCTTTGCCAGCTCCAGAGGTGGGAACTCGTAATCCCACTCTGATCCGGGCGGCGCGCCTTAAAGGCTTCCTTTGCGCCACCTGGAACGTGGAGGGTCTCCGAAGCCCGGGCAAGCATCACGTGCTTGTCAGAGCTATGGAAACCTACCACTTGGACATTGTTCTTCTCCAGGAAACACACACACAAGGTGCTGCTTCGTATTGCATTCGGGATCATCTTTTCTATTTAGTCGGCTCTTCTGATCGTAAATGTGACGCGCATGCTGGGGTAGGTTTTATCCTTGCGCCTCACATGCGTAAATACGTGATTCGTTTCACGCCTTATCACGCGAGAGTCGCTGCTCTGGAAATCAACACCAGACCGCGTGCTTCCACCTTTTTCAGCATTTATGCCCCCAGCACTCTCCCGGATCCTGCGCTTGATAGAGAGCGCAAGGAGGCTTTCTGGGACCTGCTCGCTAGTATTGTCCCGCGTTCCAACTCCAGCAGCCCCATCGTCATCGCTGGGGACTTCAATTCGAGACTCATACGGAAACTGGCGGAGGATCCGCCTGTGTTTGGCGACGCGCTTTTTGGCACCTCCAGTGTGATTCACACTGAGGAATGGAATAATCGGGCGAACCTTCTTAGTTTTGCGCATGAGCGCAACTTGCTGTTGCTCAACACTTTCACCTCGAAGCCAGTTTGCACGTTCCGTGAAATTGGCGCCGGAAGTTCTATCTTTGATCCGGCTCCGCAGGATTATCACATTCTCGACTTTGTTTTGGTCCCTGCGACTCGGAAGAACAACATTCATGGCATTCATGGCCTTCATTCTTTCGCTTTTGATTCCCACCACTACCCTTTGGTTTTCAAATACCAATTTAAAGATGCAGGGCGTGTCAAAACCTGTGGCAACAGACCCGGTCTGGTCCTTCCACCGCAATTGCAGCTCCCGACTTTTGACCAGAGGCCGGAAGGTCCGGTCTTTTACGTTTTCACTGATGGTTCAGCGGGCGCCGGTGCGGCGGGCTGGGGCTTCTCCATCTGCTTTGATGTTGAAGGTCGGTCTCCACTTCTTTCCTCGCACGGTTGGGTTGAGACTGACCCTTCGAGGCCAGCCTACCAGGGCACCTTGCTTTGTACCAATAACACGGCTGAGGTAGTTTCGCTTCTTGAGCTTCTTGATCTTCTCATTCGCGAGTTTCCGGTAGCCACGACCTTTGTGGTTCGTCCAGACTCGCATTTCGCTATGTACACTGCCTCTTTAGACTGGATTACCTCGAAGCATCCAGAGTTGGTTGAAAAGCTGCTGCTTCACCTCGCTTGTGCGCAGCAACGCCATTTCTTTTGCTTTCAACATGTTCGGGCTCACAAGGGGGTCCCCGGCAATGAGCGTGCTGATGAGCTCGCTAAATCCGGTGCCCTCGGCAGCTGTTCTTGGGTTGGCCGTTGGGGCGCTCTCATTCAGCCTCTTCAGGTCCCCAGTCTGCCTCCCGCCCTCAGTCTTTCTTATGAGGGCCTTATCGCTCTCATTTCTTCGCAAATGTTGCGACGGCCTCCTCGGAAGGCCAAAAAGCCGTGGATCTCCGAGGCCACGTTGGCCAAAATCGATGAACTCGCTTTCCTGCGCACGAATGGGTTGGCAACCCATGAGCAGGAGGTTGCCCACCATAAGGAGATTCGCAAAAGGGCACGCCGTGACAAGAGGGATTGGACAACAGCTCGTTTGTTGGACCATGACCCCCGCTCACCGCCCTGGAAGGTTTTGGCTTCTCTTCGCTCTGCCTTCCACTCCAGACCAGTGGCGATCAAGTCGTCCACAGGCCTGGTCACTGGGTATAACATTGCGGAGGAGTTCGCTCAGCATTATGCGCAAAGATGGTCGCTCCCTGGGCCGTTCCTTCCACCCCCGCTTGGGGACTCTCATCCTCCTATTCCGGTGGATGGCCTGACCTGCAAGGTGTCTCTGGGTGAGCTCCTGGGAGCTATCGCCCGCACGAAGCGTGGGAAAGCACCGGGGACGGATGAAGTTCCGGCGGATGTTTTTCGTCGTCTTACACTGCCGACGCTTCTTCTTATTGCTGCTTTGTTCTCGGACATGATTGAGGGTGGCCCACACCCCCAAAGTTGGCGTGAGGCCATGGTAGTGGCTTTGTTCAAAAAGCACTGCCCGTTGGAGGCCAGTAACTATAGGCCCATTGCTTTGTTGAATTCTTTTTACAAGCTGTTCGCCTGCGTCCTGCGGTGTCGTCTCGCCAAATATGTTGAGGACCGTTTGCGTGGTTCCCAATATGGGTTTCGTCCAGCTCGTTCTTCCTCGCAGTGCGTTTTCCTCCTTAAACGCATGGTGGAGCTGTTTGAGCAGTATGGGGGCACGCTCCACGTCATTTCTCTGGACTGGAGGCTCGCCTTCGACTCCATTCACCACTCGTCTATTGATTGGGCGCTTACCCATCTCGGGGTTCCTGCCCAATTTCGGAGGGTCATCATGGCTCTCTACCATGACACGATCTTCCGGGTCAAATTTGGAGTCGATTCTTCGGATTACCCCTTTTTGAGAGGTATCCGACAGGGGTGTCCGCTTTCCCCTTTTTTGTTCGTCGCTGTGCTCTCCGTTGTTTTTGAGTCTGCCGTTGGCGTGTTCTTTGATCGCTACCAGCAGCGTCCTTGGACGCTTTCTCGTGAGTCCCCCACTTCGGATCTGGAGTACGCGGATGACACGCTGCTGATGGCACGTACGGGTCAAACGGCGAACCGTATGCTCCACGTCCTCCAAGAGGTCGCTTCTGCTGCAGGCTTGGTTCTTCATCCTGCTAAGACCTTCCATCTCGCAGTCAATTCGGAGTGGCCCATCATCCCTGCTATGGCTGAGGCCGGTGAGAGGTGCCACTGCCGTTTCTGTGACGAGTCACAGACCTGCCCTCATGTGTGCCCTTTGCAGCAGGTTGAGGAGCTGGAGTACCTTGGTACTATTACTACCCCGAAGGGCGATGCTGATCCCAATCTGCGTTACCGTCTTAGGCTTGGTCGCTTGGCGTTTGCTAAGCTCAAGCCTTTTTTCCGATTGTCGGGTGTCCCTCTGTCCGTCAAGCTGCAAGTCTACACTGCTATCTTCCAAGCGGTGGTGGTGTATTCGTTGGAGTCTGAGGCTTTGTCACCGTCGCAATATAAGCGACTGGACACGCTCGGCATGAAAGTGCTTCGCAGCATTCTTAAGCTGCCTTCTGCTTATTACTCGCATATTACTGGGGATGGCATTTCTCATGAGGCTGTCCTTAAAGTCTTGGCTGACCGGGGTTTTTCTATTCGTCCTTTGTCCCATGTTGTCATGTCTCGGCGTTTGCAGCTCCTTGGTCACATTCTTCGTGATTGTTCGCTGCCTGCCTGGAGTGTGTGTTTTCGGGAGGGTGTCCTCATTTACCGTCGACTCTCCTCTACGCAGCGTCGCGGTCGTCCTCGTCCTCGCTGGGCGGAAACTACTATCGCGCTTGCGTATCACAGACTCAATACTCCTCGGCCTCAGGCTTGGGAGTACTCGCATGCTTTCTTTCGCATGCCCACCCTCCAAGACACTGTCTCTGTCCATGGGGGTCCCGAAGACGTCCGTCTCGGCATCGCGGAAGCCCATATCTTGAGGACTATCCGGGATAAAGCCCATAACCGTGCCGCGTTCAGAAAGGATGTCTTGTAAGTCCTCTGTCGCATTTTGAGCGGGTCCTGGCTTTTCTGTGTCTTTTGCACGCACACTGCCAAATTCCCTTGAAAGAAGAAGAAGAAGATTTGAACTAACTGTTTGCTTAAGAGCCCCCAAAAACTACAGAATAGTAATCCCTAAATGGCCCTCATAAGAAGTAATATTTTCATTTTTCGGTTGACTCTTATAAGCAAGTAGTACCCGAAGAGCCCAATACCCCTTCTATAACGAAGCAGTATGCCTTCAATTTCGTAAGGGTGCTTCATAAAACCCTAAACCCTATAGCCTATCATATGATATAAGGCATTTTCCTTACTTAAGGGGTATTGGGCTCTTCGGTAAGTTTAGGGTCCAGGGTTTTAGGAGACCCTAAACCCCTAAACCCTGTTATGAATCCTGAATCCCAACCCCGGCACCCCTGTGGGGCTGAGGGGAGGTTTGAGGGACCCTAAACCCTAAACGACCAGGGAGCTCCTGAAAAGTTGCGGTCCTTTGTGGGGGGGGGGGGGGGGAGGTTTAGGGTTCAGGGTTTAGGGGTTAGGGTTTAGGGTTAAGGGTTTAGGCTTTAGGGTTTAGGCTTTACGATCTACACTTCTTTTTCAATGAGAAGCGTTTGAGGTGGTTTAGGGTGTCGGGTCTAGGGCTAAGTTTGTGAGATCAGAGTGGGGCCACTAATTTGAGGGAAGCTCCCATTTTGGTGTTCAGTCTCTACGAAGTTACACTTGTCCTTCTTGTTTGGGTAACCGGTAAGGCGAACAATGCAAATCAACCCCGCCTGCGACAGCCTAAACCCTAAACCCTGAACCCTAAACCCTAAACCCTAAAACCTAAACCCTAAACCCTAAACCCTAAACTGGGTCTTCGGGCACTGTTGCCAATGAGGCCTGAGCCTTGCCAGCTGCTGAGAAACTGTTCTCCACCCCCAGAGGGGTTTAAGGTTTGGGTTTAGGGCTCAGGGTTTAGGGTTTCGGGGGGTTTAGGGGTTTAGGGTTTAGGGGTTTAGGGTTTAGGGTTTAGGGTTTAGGGTTTAGGGGTTTAGGGTTTAGGAAGCACGTTGGTAAAAGCAAAGTGCCCTGCCTCAACACGAGGAACAGAAAAGGCTCGCTTCGGCGGATCGAATCAGTTTCAACCTGCACGGCGTGGGGCCCTTACTGCTTGAAGGTTCTACTTTCTGCTTTCTAGGCATCGAGTAAGGGGGCCCCTCCTTGTAGGGGTTTATGAGGCTTACTTGAAGGTTCATGGTACTTACTAACCAATTCTAACTGGGCTTATAACCCTACTTATAATTGGGAGAACCCCTATAAGGCCCTCTAGAGGTGTTATAAGTAGGGTTATAAGCCCAGTTATAATTGGTTAGTAAGTACCATGAACCTTCAAGTGATCTCCCTGGTTCTTAGTAGGGAATGAGGGAATGAGGGCCCTACTTAGGCCCTTTAAGGGATTCTATAAGGGGGCCCTCATGCCCTCAGTCCTTACTAAGAACCAGGGGGGTTACACCGGGGTTTGATGCGTGCGTTGGGATTTCGAGGTCGGCTTCATGTGCGCGGTAAGATGCAGATAAAGGTGAGGGTAGGCTCCTCACACAGTATAAGAGTCTCCTTTTGGGTTTTTTATTGCAATCCTACTGCGACCTAAATGGTAGCTCATACTCGAGCCCCATGCTTCGTGGCTCAGGACTTTCGTTATCGCCCGGGCATCACCTATCGAGGCCGTTTAAATGAAGCAGCTTTGCGATGTCGTGCGACGATGTTGGGATATTTGTTGGGCACCTGATGTAGCTGTTCTAGTTCAACAGCTTCACGTATGGGACCTGTATGGTCGCACGTTTCTTATGCGCACCCTTCCGGGTCTCTATTGCCCTCGCTCTAGGGTACATACAAACGGGGCCATCATGTATATCACTCGAGCCGCCCAAAAAAAGTCCAAAACCCTCCAGCTGTCGACCCTACAATCCTTGTAGCCTGCACGGAAGCGCTTAGCGAGGGCGGTTCTGGAAGTACTTGGAGGTACATGGTACTTATTTACCAAGTATAACTGTACTCACCACTGTACCGATAACCCTATTAGGGCACGTAAGGGGCTGATGAGTGGGTTATAAGCACAGTTCTAAGTACCACGAACCTCCAAGTAGGCATCACGAGCTATGACGACTGCTTGTACCTCAGCGTCACAGAGATGGACGTCGTGCCTTGGCTTTGCTGCCCTTGGCACTAAACACTTCACACCCCCAGGGTTAGGCTTTAGGCTTTAGGGGATTAGGGTGTCTCTCCGACCTCAAACCCCAATTGCACCCCAACTCTCCGACATTGTGCAACACTGTAATATCGGGAGGTCCACTCGACAACCCAAAGATCCCTTGAACCCCCCTTGGAACCCCCCAACCCCCACTCAGCCCTCCAAGAGCGTAAGAAGCCTAAACCCTGAAACCTAAACCCTGAACCCTAAACCCTGAACCCTAAACCCTAAACCCTAAACCCTAAACCCTAAACCCTAAACCCTATCTTCAGAGTTCAGGTTGCCGTTATCTGCAACAACCTCACCACTGTCTCGCGTCGGATTCCGGTGCGGCATCCCATAGGTTACCGCGGCTTGAAATCTTCCTTGGGTTCAGGGTTTAGGGTTTAGGGTTTGGGGGCGTAGGGTTATAGGTTTTAGGGTTTAGGGTATGTAGGGTTTGGGGATGGAGGGATTTTGGGAGTTTCTTTGGGGGTTTGGGGGATTTTGGGGGGGGTCAAGGCCAATGCTTTATCAGGCGGTGAGGGAGTCTGCGGGACGAGATCCCGAACTCTCCCTCCCTAAACCCCTCTTGGAGGTTCACGGTACAGTACTTAAGTAATTACAACTGTACTTATCAGTGGTTTAGGGTTTAGGGTAGCTGTACTTTTGACTGTACTTCTAACCATACTGGGGCACTTGAGGGGCTTATAAGTGGGTTATAAGTACAGTTCAAATTGGTTAATAAGCCTCCTTGCAAGACTCAAGGGTCAGGTCCGACAACCGGATCCCGGTGGGCAGCATCTTGGGTTTAGGGACTTTCGAATTTTTCGGGTTTCAGGGTTTCAGGGTTTTAGGGTTGTAGGGTAGGGTTTCAGGGTTTTAGGGAGGGTTGTAGGGTAGGGTTTTGGGGTTTTGGGGCTTTAGGGTTGTAGGGTAGGGATTTAGGGTTTTAGGGTTTCAGGGTTTCAGGGTTTTAGGGTTTAGGGTTTCAGGGTTTCAGGGTTTCAGGGTTTTAGGGTTTTAGGGTTTTAGGGTTTTAGGGTTTTGAGGTTTTAGGGTTTCAGGGTTTTAGGGTTTTGAGGTTTTAGGGTTTCAGGGTTTTAGGGTTGTAGGGTAGGGTTTTAGGGTTTTAGGGTTTTGGGGTTTTGGGGTTTTGGGGTTTTAGGGTTTTGGGGTTGTGGGGTTGTGGGTTGGAGGGTTCAGGGTTGTAGGGCTTAGCGGTTAGGGTTTTTGGGGCTGAGGGTTAGGGTGTCTAGGGTTTAGGGTTTGGGGCAACTATGAAAGTGCAGGCTTCTTCTTGGAAGGAAGGCTTCAGCCCGAACACTAGATTCTAGGCACTTGCCTTGACTGGAGTGCTCGCCCTGCTGGCCGGGAGTTCCCTTCGTCCCGATCCCGTGAGGCCTATTCGCAATTCTGGAGCATCCAATAGGGTTTAGGGTTTAGGGTTTAGGGTTTAGGGTTGCGAGTTTCGGATGTAGCGCCACTAGTTTCAACGAACCCCCCCCCCCCTCGAAGGGACTGCAATGTAGAGGAGTGCGCGCGAGGTTTGCTTGTGGACGAAGAGCACAGGCGACTCTACATCGCATCACCCACCAAGGACGAAGGCTCGCATGGTGAGATTGCAGTGCTTTGGCTTTGATCACTGGCTGGTTTTTTGGTTTCGATTCTTCCATTTTGTGCTCGAAGTAGTCTGGGAACCCCGCGCCCTAAACCCTCCGCCCCAAACCCCAAACCCCAAACCCAAAACCCTTCTGTAGTGTTCAGTGGCTCTTGGGGCAAGTTCTGGACGATGACCCGGTGCCGACGTCGTGGCACAAACCCCAGACCTATTTTCAGTGGTGCCCTTCTTCCCTTGCTCTTCTTAAGCCCTAAGCCCTAAACCCTAAACCCTAAACCCTGAAGGGCTTAGGGCTCATGGTTTAGGGCTTAGGGTTCATCAAACACCCAAAACAATTTCCGGGGAAGCTGCTGCAGAAAGGCTGAATAGCGCAAGTTTGTTGAAGAGAAAAACGCCTCCTGAGGGCCTAGGGCTCAGAGGTGGAGAATGCTTTGCGGTTCAAGGGTTTAGGTGTAGTTAGGCCTTTTGGGGGTTGTAGGGCCTTGTGGGGCTTACAATGACAGGGCTTGTAGGGCTTGTCAAAGATGTTTCCGGCCGAGACCGGAAAGCAGTAGCCAAGGTGTGGGACCTACACTCCCACCGCTTCCTTCCAAGCCTGGCCCATGAGCCCTGGCCTTTTTGGCAAGCCCTAAAGCCCTTCAGTATTGGGTTGAAGAGGATCGTATCCAGGAAATTTTTGAGAGTGTTTTAAAGGCCATCCTAGGCCCTTTCTTGAGGGTTTACAAGCAGGTTTTTTGGGGAATCAGCACGTGTGGACCCTAAACCCTAAACCCTTGAACCTCCCTTTTCCACTTCAGACTGCTCTGTTTGTGTAGGTTTTAGGGTTTGGGGTTGAGGGTTGAGGTCCTGAAACCCTTGCGCCGGTACGGCTTGGACCCTTAGGGATTAGGGTTTAGGGTTTAAGTTTAGGGCCTCCAAGACTGTAAGACTCGCACCCCTAAGGTTTGTACCCCTCAAGGTTCCCCTTAATGTACTCCATATGGCCCTTGTACTACCTTAAGGATCGTCAAAGATGGTCCACAAAAACCCAAGGGCACGACCTTAAGTGTCACAACCCCTAGATGGACCCTACTGCCTCCATAAGGATGGGATGAACCATCCCACGA